CAAATAAATAAATAAAATCTTAAAAAAATAAAAATAAAATAAAAATATAAAAATAATAATAATAATAAAATAAAATAAAAATTAAAAAATAAAAGGTACCCCTAGTCCTAATCCTAAAATTGCTACCAGCAATTTTCCACCATCTCAGGAAATCACATACATTGTTAAGTTTTTAAAAAAAAAATTCGGAAGATGCTAATAAATAGTTTATAAATGGTCTTTGAAATTACTTTTTTCTAGCATCCCCAAATTCAAAAGGAGTCCCAGTATATCAAATATCTCTGCTGTGACGACGCGAGAACCCTAAACCAGTGGGTCATGGGAATAAGGATTGCCAAGGTGAGAGAGCATGTGGACTCACCCTGTCTTGAGTTGTATACCAGCATCCTGACCTGGGTGCAGTCTCTGTGCTACTTGGAAATGGCTGACCCATCCTTAGTGGGTCAGCGCTATGATACCATCTTAACTTTCTTGCCCACGGGGTTTTTTTAATAGGTGAGAGTGATGGAAACACAGACCTCTCCAACGACCTGAGAATCAAGGGTTTACTCTCCCACGAGGCTTCTCAGATCTTTATTTACTTGTGGAGAGCTTGAGTTGAGAAACACAACACATAACCTGTGGTAGATTTACATGAAGACCTACGGTGATCAGAAGTGGGTGGCGAAAGCCCTCCTCTAACATCTGGGTAAAAGTATTAACTGACTGTGCTAATCTGGAAAATCACTTAACACACGAAAATAATCTATGGATTTTTTTTATTGAAATACACTAAGAAAACTCAGGAAAGAAGTAAAAAGTAGCTATAAAGTACTTTTTTCCTTCAATATATATATATATTGCAATTGGGTGCAGGATTTGGGATAAATGGATTTCTTTCTTGCTTCTTTTGTGTTCTCTCCCCAGTATGGAAAGACTCTCTACGATAACTATCAGCGGGCTATGGCGAGGGCCGGGCTCGCCTCCCGGTGGACAAACCTGGGCACTGTGAGCGCAGGACCACCAGCTCCGCCGGCCCCACCTGCTACAGGTACCGTGCAAAGAAGAAATCCTGACACTTGCTCAAAGCTTAGAGCTCATGTTCAAACATAGCCAACACATTTTATAAATGTTGGCTCAAGATCTCTACACCCACCTGTATCTATTTCTTTGTAAGTGATTCTTAGCAAAGCTTCAACCACTTTTCTCATGATATGCTTGTGGATGAGATGGGGACCACCAGTGTAGGGTGAACTAGAAGAATACTGTGTCTCATCAGAATAGAAAGGTGATATTTGTCCAAAGCTTCGTTAGCACCCAGCAGACAGCCCACGAAAAGGACGAGATCAATCCCCAGTGTTTTGCCTCATGGTATCATGGCCAGAGCCTTGTACCCAATCCTGGACATCACATTCTATGGTAACATAACAGCTTCTTGTTTGTATTTTGAGGAGGACAGAATTTTGAGAGATGAAGTGTGTGCAAGGCATCATTTTACATAGACTATTTCTGGTTCTTACACCAACCCTGCAAAGTATAGATCATTACCCGCACTCCACAGTTGAAGATATTCTGAAGCTGGTATAAGTGTCTAGTGTCTTCTCCGTGGCTGCGCTGTAATTCAAACACCTTGTCTTTATGATAAATAATGGTTGAAAGAACTGGAACCATTTACAGCAGGAAAGTTCTGGTCATTGTCCTTCAGTGCTAGAGAATGGTCATATCAAAGCCAATATATGTATTCTTTGCTGCTCAAAGGGTAAAAGCAGCTTGAAAGTGTAGAAGGTGCAGTACGGCAGATTTGACCCAACACCTAAAGATATTTTCACTGGATGTGTCCAGATTGGCTGCTCTGTGTAGAGTGAGTTTCTGGAAGTGTTTATGCTGAATAAAACTGTTTTCTGCAGAGCACTTACCATGATTTGTAATTATTTTATGTATCCATGAACGTGTCTGGTGCCTGTTTTCTCCACTGGACTCTAAGTCTCCAAAGGACAAAAGACCATTTCACCAGGTTGCACATTATGTTCCCAGAGTTTACAAGCCTGGCATATAGTAAATATTTATTGAGTTACTAAATAAAGGGTTGCTGGGGTTGGTTGGGAGTTGGGTTTCCTAATTCTATCATTCTTCATCTTGGGAGTGAAACACCACTTGTAGTTCTTGGCTGTCAAGTTTCCCCTTCCCAAGATGGGGTCACTCTTTGGGATGAGGCACCCTGAGACCATTTGGGGCATCTCTCCCAGGAGCACCAGCCTCTATTCCAGTAAAGGCTCCTGGGCTATTTCTGAGGCAGATCCTGTGGCCTTAGGTCTTACTCACTGAGGGTGAGCCCATAAGGCTGTAAGTCCTTTGATTCGAGGGAACGCTAAGATGCCTTTGCTTTCCAGACAGCCAAAGAATTTTTTCTTCCGAACATTTTTCTCTGAAATTGGGATCACTGACTTTAGCAAATAGCTCTGTCTCTTACCAACTAATTGTTCTAGTTAATTTTCACAAGCATTGGCATATCAGCCATTTCCCAGAATGAAGCAGCTAGTGTACTGTATATCATCCTGTCACCCAGACAGGTTTCTTAGCCTGGTTCTGGCTGAGTGAGGTATCCGTCAGCAAGTTGGGTTTTGTGGTCAGCAACCAGGAAGAGCCATATCCAATCAGGTGCTCAGGGGATCATCTTGGGCATCAGCTGTATTTATTCAGATCATTCAGATCACAGACTATCTCTGTGGTTCAGTAAGAAATATATCTGAAACACTACATCAAAAACTAATGATGTAATGTATGGTGATTAACATAACATAATAAAATTAAATTTAAAAAAATTTTTTAAAAAAGAAATATATCTGGTCTTTGGCCTCAATTCCTGACAAAGCTTCAAGAGCCCAAGGAATTTCCTGAGCCATCGTGTCTTTCTTAGGCTAATGAGATGACTCATGGTGGACCCCCTGGTAGCTTTAGGATGGGGGCTGCTCACCAAAAAGACCAAGCAAGTGATTCCACCACAGAGCTCTGGACATCACCCACAACTGGGCCCTTAATACTGCCTATTGATCTTACTACAGTTCTCTAGACTAGCAGTTCTCAGCTGAGGGTGACCTTGCCCCCTAGGGAAGATTTGGCAATGTTTAGAAACAATTTTGGTTATCACACCTTGGGGGAAATGCTTATGATATCTAATGGGTAGAGGCTAAGGATGCTGCCTGTCCTAAAATGCATAGGACAGCCCCCCACACAACAAAAAATTTTCTAGTCCCAGATGTCAGTAATGTTGAGAAAACCTGTTCCTGTCAATGTAATTCCTAGTTTCTCTCATTGTCTCAAATGTTCTTCACTCTCCTCAGACTTCCAACCCCCAAATCCTTCACTCTCAGCAGAGAAAATGGAACCATCAAATGGGAACTCCTTTGACTTCCCACCACAAAACCCAACAACTTCCCTGCATCTGTACCCGTCCTAGCCTGCGTCCATTATGTTACTTCCTAACAAGAGCCAGTCCTTCCATGCATGCTCTGGTCCCCTATTCCAACACCGGCTGATCTTCTGCAGTATCACTCTGATGCCCACCACTGGAATTAGCTCAGACCCCACAGGCCAAGGGCAACATCCTCAACAAGGCTGCCTTTCTTCCAATGCCAGCCGCACTTCTGACCTACTGGTTACAATTTTAGGGGTTCCCACTACCCCTTCAGCTTCAACAGTTCACTAGAATGACACAGAACTCAGGAAAGTGCTATCCTTATTATTATAATGTTATTATAAAGGATACATATCAGGACCAGCCAAATAAAGAGACACACACAGGGCAAGGTCTCGGAGGGTCCTGGCTGCAGAGCTTCTTTGTCCTCTCATGAACCACATGATTGATTTCAGTGCCCTCCCCAGAAGTTGGGTTAGCTCAAAGCCCCCAACCCTCCAATCACCTGTTAGTGTTTCTGATAGCCAACCCGCATCCCAAGCCATCTTGTTGGCATAAACTCAGATGTGATCCTAGGGGTTCGTTGAATAGCAAAGACATTCCAGTCACTTTGGAAATACCCAGGTTTTAGAAGTTCTGTGCCAGGAACTCAGGACAAAGATTAGACAGATTATACCATCCTCTTCTACTTTCTCTTCTGCTCTACTGGGTCCTCCTCATCGACACTGCTCCCTTCTTCAAGCAAGTGAGTTTTAGAACCCTCCTATGACTCCACATCTCCCTCCAGCTACTGCCCCCACCCCCGCCACCACCAAACTATTCTAAAGGGTGGACCACATATGCTGCCTCCACTTTTCTACCCTCACTCACTCTTCGACCCATTTCAGGCAAGCTTCTGCTTCTAATACCCCATGGAGAGGGCTCTTGCTAATCCCACCAGTGGCCTCTATGCTGCTAAATGCAAGTATTATAAACTTATCTTCTTATCTGACCTTTCAGCAGCATCAACAGGATTGACCTTTCCTCCCTGAAACAGTCTCCTCTATTGGCTTTCCAGATAGCACACACTCCAGATCTTCCATCTCACCCCCAACTTCCCCCGCCACTCTTTTCTAACCTCCTCTACTAACTCTTCTTCTACCTTAAATTATCCACAACTCAGTCCATCCTAACCCTGTTCTCTTGTTACACTGTCTCTCTAAGTGGTCTAAATCCACTCCTGGCACCATCTTTGTGCTGACCACCCACAAATATATAAATCCAACCCAGACTTCTCTGTTGACCTCCAAAACCACGTATCCAACTGTCTGCTCAATGGCTCCACTTGGATACATCAGACTCAACATCTGTAAAACTGACTCATCATATTACCCTCCAGACCTGCTCTTCCATTGTTGTTCTCGAGTTTCTGTAAATAATAATCATCTGCCCGGTTGCTTATGCAGGACACATGCAAGAAAAGCTCACTCATGCCCAAATCCAGTCACCCCCAAATCCTGTTGATTTTACCTTCTAAATATCGGTCAAATCTGTCCAGGTCTGTTCATCTCCATCCCCATCAAACCTAAGCTGCCGTGATCTTTCACTTGGCCTCCCGTGGTAGTGGTGTACCAGCTCAACTCCCTACATTTGCAGACTTCTCTCCCGCCCTGAGTCACCTTTCTAAACGTAAATGTGATTTCTCCCCTGCCGGTAGCGTTTCAGAAGCTTCCCACTGCCCTTTATCTAGATAAGTGCCAAATCCTTAGCAAGGCCAACCAAGCCTGCATATCAAGAGCCTCGCCCAGCTGTGCTGCCTCTTTCCACCCCTGTGTTTTCCTGTTCCTGGCTCATGGGCCACTTGTTTTTCCTAGTTCTTCAAAGCCCCAGACACCATCGTTTCTTAGGGACTTCGGATGCTGTTCCCTCTGTGATATTTTTTCTTTCATGTGGCTAATTCCTTCCTATCCTCAGGTCTACAGTGAATTATCCTTTACTAGCCAGGCATAATTAATAATCTGTTTGATTAGTTTAGAACTGTTTTCTCCTCTAGACACTGAAGGAAATCATGAGGTGTTTCTGCTATGATTTCCCAACTGAAAAAAAACATGGAGAGCCATTGTTCTGTATCCAAAGTGCTTAACAAGTGATTTATTCTTGATAAATGACAGCTTTTTTCTTTTTCATATTAGAGAACAGCCATAGAGGGTTTCTTTTTTTTTTTTTAGCACTTATTAAATCACTTCGACTTTAGCAACTGTTTTTAGTCAGGACTCTTCACATGGTAATTGACAAATCCAACTCAGTCTGGTTTAAGCAACAAAGAATGAGGGGGAGAGATTTATTAATGCACCAAAATAGGAGGTCCAGGGGTATGCTGCTTTCAGGCACAGCAGGATCCAGGAGTGTAAGTGATGTCATCAAGATACGGTTTCTTTCTTAGGCACTGTCTCCATAAGGTGGCAAGGACTGCCAGTGATTCTCTGGGCTTACATTGTTCACACAGCTATAAATATTAGTATAAATAGAACGCCCCATCTCTGAAAAACAGAACCCCATCTCTGGGAGGGCTGTTTCGTGCCCATTCCTATCGATCTCACTGTGCCCATGAGGTTGCTGCCCTCTGACATGCCAGGTCAAGTGGGAGGATTGGCCTTTCACAAACCACGTGAGTTAAGAATGAGGGACATGGCATTTGGTCCAATTTTCAGAATGCACTTGAGTCCTGTAAAGCATTTGGGGCTCGTATTTGTTTAATCAACTTCCAACCCCTAATTCCTCTAAGAACTCCTAAAGAGGCAGTGGGAAAGACTATATTGCTACTTGACGGCAAGGACTGTTAATACAGTGAACCCAGACAACCTAGATCCCAAGTCAGTGACACCTACAGAATATATGGGTTATGTGGGTACCCATGGGTTGTCCCAGGATGGGGCAGAGAGCCCATAGAAAAGATTGGATTTCCTGGTACATGGGAAGACAGCAGCTTAGAGCATTTGGGATATTATTATTATTCGTTTGTTCTCACAGACAGATTAAAGACCAGGACATCCTAGTTAACATAAAAACACACAATGTGTTGGTGAGAAATCAGCCCGTGTATGTGTTTGGGCAAAAGAAGCAAAAAGAAAATACATTAGTGCCCTTTAAAGGAATTTCCCCCAATGCTCTTCAGGATTCAGCTTCAGTTTCTGTTCACTTTGTACAAAGGTGTTTAAATATAAAGAAAGGATTTGAATATGTATAAGAAAGTCTTAAGTATAAACATCCTAAGGCTTTAGGATGTTTAGACAGATTGCTTCCTGACCTCCAGAACAAAGCTTTGGCTAATTAGAGAAGTTTAATGAGCCTAGAGCTAGAGAAATGCACATTTACGGGGCACGTCATGTGCGTGCGGACAACACTGCTTGGGCACGCTGAGGAGGGCAAGCGAAGGTCTGCTCAGAACAACGAGGTGGCTGTCCTTGCTGAATAGGAACATGGATTTTATAACGAAAAACTGGTAGTAGAGAACGTGGTTCTAGCCTGTTCTAATATTTCAACTGCATAAATGGACACAAATATCTTTTTTTATTCTGAAGTCCTTTCAGACACGCAGAAAAGTTGCAGGAATAGTACAAAGAACCCGTTCCCCAGATCACCAATATTGAGTATTTGTCTTATTTTGAGATATTTGAAAATTTGAGATATTTGCCTTATCATTTCTGTCTCCCAACTCCCGCTTCTCCATATGTTATCCACAGACATGTTTTTTCCAAACCACTTGAGAGTAGACGGACTACCTCATACCCCTTTCCCCTCCAGTCTTCCCTTTGTGGTTCCTAAAATCAAGGCTATTCTCTTACTAACCGTAGTACAATTATCAGATCTAGGGAATTTCATATTAATATTATCTAAGCCACAGCCTATGTTCAGGTATTGTCAGCCGTCTCGGCAGGGCCTTCGATAGCAGCGTGTTTTCCTGGCTCAGACTCCACCCAGGCTCGTGTGTGGCATTTACTTACCATGTCTCCTTAGCTCCCCTTCATCTGGAACATTCCCCCAGCCTTTCTCTGTCAGGACATTAACAGCTTTTTAAGAATAAGGGCCATTTATTTTATAGAACACCCCTCAATTTGGATGTGTCTGATGTTTCCTTACGATTCATTTCAGATAGTGCATTTCAGGCGGGAATCCTGCGTGAGGGCTACATGTCCTTCTCAGGGTATCACGATTGGAGGCATACGATGTCTGTTTGCCCCTCATCGGAAACGTGCCTTTTGATCACTTGGCTAATGTGTTGCCCGATTTCTCTCCTGTACAGATTTTTCATCTGGTATTTCATAATTTGTAGAGAGACACTTTGAGGCCCTGTTAACATCCCATTCCATCAAACACTCGCTTCTTCCCAATCTCAAGTTCTTAACAGCCTTCTTTGAGTTGTTATGTAGATGAATGGGTTTCTCAAACTACTGGAAAAATATTTGAAGAAGCAAGCAAACGGTAATTTCACAAGCATTTGACAGAATAGCTGGCACTGAGCGTAGCTAAAGCAATCTCTGAGTTCACTCACTGAGAAGACCTCTTGTCAGCATTGGCTGGGGGCATTGGAGAAATGGCCCAATTGGAGAGATGGCCAGCGTTTCCAGGATGTTCTCTAAGGACCTGGAGAGATCCACGGACATCTGAAGAAATCTGTCAGATTCCCTCAAAACTGTGAAACCTCAGTTAGTCTCACTTTCGTGACAAAGGGTAAATTAAAAGGCAGGAAAATAAAATAAGGGCTTATCAGAACTTTCTGGAAGCAAATCCATTCCAGGTTATCTCAGGAGTCTGCACATTTTGCTCAGTCCCCTCTGTCTACTATTTTTGTGCCCATAGTACATTTTGTTGAGAATAATGCTCAAAAGTTGTTCCTGTACACGGCATAGTATGAAACTAGAAACATACATTTCAGAAAAATCTTCAACAACAGCAATTTTTTAAACAGTTTTTCAAAGTTTATTCTCCAGTTATCAAAAGGCTTTTGAGGGGCACCTGGCTGGCTCAGTCAGGTAAGTGTCAGACTTTCGATTTTGGCTCAGGTCATGATCTCAGGGTTGTTGAGATCCAGCCCCGTGTAGGGCTCCATGCTGGGTGTGAAGCCTGCTTAAGATTCTCTCTCTGCCCCCACTCTCCCTCTCTAAAAATAAATAAATAATTTTTTTTCTTTAAAGGCTTTTGAAAACAGAACATGCTATTCTCTAGGCCCCTAGTTAATTCAGATGTTGTAGCCTATATAAAGCATTCACTTTCCTGAACCTTTGCTGAATCTCATGAAATATTGCCATAGAACCTTAGATTTTCTGTTAAGGCCTGTGTACCTATGACTCCTTGTCTTTTGCTTTGGAAATATATAAACTACTTTATGTTTTTAGATGAACTTGCAAGAATGTTGAATATGCCTTACCCACTCTTCTTGTCTTTCTTCCCCGTTCTCAGGACTTAAAATAGGAACCACCCAGGCCAATGGTCAGATTCCCCAGGCTGCACATTCTGTTAGCGCTGTTCTCGAAGAAGCCCAGAGGCATGCAGAAACAACTAAGGTAAGGCCAGAGAGTAAGTAACTGACATTCTCAGCCTGTCTCCAGTAAGCCCATATTCTAAACCATTAGCAGTGTCCAATAACTGCTCTCCTAAAAAGAGAAAATCTAGTTCCAACAACTAAGAAGTCACTATAATTTTATTTAGATAGTTGCCTTTTTGTTAATCTTAAAGTTATACAGGCTAGAATGGAAAATTAAAGCCAACTGTTATCACATTGCTCCAGGAAAATGGAAGAATTTTTTTTTTAATGCTGATGCTTGGTAAATATTTTTAATTTAGCTACATTGATTTGGGCTGAAGGGATTTTCTTGCTGAAGGGCAAGTGGTTTTAGCACTCTGAAAGTGGACCCTGAGTTTTAAGCCCTTGGGATTTTTACTTTTTTTGAATAAATTAGAACAGTTAGTCAGAAGCCCTATATTAAGTGCTAACTAAGCCCCAAAACTAGATTAGAAGACTACTAAAAGGGTTCTATTAGAAAATGTGCATTTTATATTTTTCTGTTAATGTTCAACATACATCCTCAGGGTGATGGAAAAGAAAACACATTTTAAAATAATAGCCAAATTGATATAACATTCTCTATAACTTTTTTTTCAGTAGAGATTAGTGAAGATTTATTTAATCTGAAAATTGTAGCTGAAAGTTGTAATCTATATACTAGTCTAACTGGTAACATTTCAACTGACTATTCTGTTGAATATTTTCCACGTGTGATTCAAACAGCCTTGAATAATTGTACCTTCCATTATTTTTCACTTCATTCTCCCCCTCTCATTTTGTCCATCAGCCAGTGGTGGGAGCAATTAAATCTTGTATTTTTTGAAATTGTTATAATTTCTGAAAACCATTGTAGACCATTAAAAGTTGTGTTTCTCTAATATTCTTATGAGCTTCTCAAGTCCGACATCAGGCACCTCACCTTCAGCTCTTATTATTTCTATGGTTCCTGTAAAGCCAACTGAAGAGAAACACTTGAAAATGCTGAAAGCAACAAAAGGATCCCAGAATAGAAACCACTTTGCTTTGTGTGAACATCAGTTCCCAAACTGCCTGTTCAGAATTGTTTTTAAGTGTACATCACTAGTCAACTAGGTTATCATGCCAAGCAAATAAACCAAATAAAATAGAAACTCAATCATAAGGCACTTTGTAGAAAAAAAAAAAAAACTACATAACTTCCAAATTTAATCGTCAGTGGTAAGAGGTGGTTAAGCCAAAGAAAAAAAATGAAAGCCTGATAATTATCAAGAAAACAGAGGGATTCAGCTAAGCTGCCTGAAATTCCTGGGGAAGTTGCATTATATAAATGTTAAGTTACTATTATCATCTATACCACTGTTGGCAGAAGGGGAACTGTGCCTCTTTAGCCTTTGGCCAAGTCTGATGTTCTGGTTTCCTCCAGGAGTAGCATAGGCAGCATGATTTTACTGCACAGAACCGAGCCACACATTTAGCTCACTTGGTATCATCATAACCTTGAGGCCTAGATAATAACAAAGCCTATGATGCTCATTTTATCCCTGATTGGCCAGCCGACTTTCACACAGTTAAGAAAAGGTAAATCTAAGACTGTGGACCAGGTGTGTGGATTCTCAGTCCACCCACCGCCTCCCTTGAAGTTGTCATGCCAGAGGGAGAAAAGCCTGTAATTGGCTTCTCCCTGGTAGCCCACAGTCCTGGGGAAAGGCATCTTTGTTCTTGGCATGCCAGCAATCACTGATGCAAGAGAAGGCAGAACAGTTCTTTGCTAGGAGAGTTATTTTTTGTGCCCAGATCTGTACAAAGCTTACCGGTAGCCTAGAGAGAACTCTCTGTTTTATTTTTCCCTTCCATCTTCCTTGTACTAATCAAAGGAGGCCATCTAAGCCAGGAGTTTTGGGGAAGGTTTGGGGAAGCTTCTTAATCACCTTTCGGCCACTGGAGGTATGATACAGAAGCAAAATAATTTTATAGACACCTGCTCCTGACAACTGAGCTTCACAACCAGCTCAACTCAGACCAAGAAAAATGTTATGGCTGCATATGCTGAGGACCCCCCGGGCGGGGGCGGGGAGAGGGGGGTTGTCTTGGGAACCAAGGCTTGAGTGGGAATTCCAGGAGAGCCATTTTGCTTCCATTTTGAGTTTACTTAGGCTGAGCTTAGGGTAGGTAAAGACTGAAGTAACCCCATAACTAGCTTAGCTCTGTATCACTAAAGCTCTTTCGATGATGTGGTGGTTGGGAAGAGATACATCTATAATCTAAACATAATAAACACCTCGTGTTCCATTTACTGAAGAAGACATGGTAGATAAGCGTTAAATAATGTTATCATCGGTAAGACTGTTAAGGGCCATTTGGAGTCATTCTCCTAACGCAAAGAGGAGCTAGCTCGTGAACCACCTGTAGTCTCAGGGCCTGAGGAATGGAGGCTCCCCCGACCCCCGGGAGGCAGACCTCACCGTCCAATGGAAATGTCACGCTGTGCTTGCTCTGTTGAAGGACAAGAAGCCAGCCCTTGGTAACCACGAGCCAGGAGCGCCGAGGGCGCACCAGCTTCCCAAGTCCAGCCTGCCACCGCCCCCTCCCTTGCGGCGGTCTTCAGACTTCTGCAGCAGCCCGAAGCCATCCCCCAGGGCCAAGGGCCCGGGCGGCGGCTTCCCGGCCCCGCCCGACGACTCTCTGCCGCCCCCCCCGCCACCGCCGCCCCTGGAGGACGACCAGCTCCCTCCGCCGCCCCCCGATTTCAACGACGCGCCCCCGGACTTCGTGCCTTCCCCACCGCCGTCGTTCGCAGGGGATGCGGGCTCTCCGTTGCCGCCCCCTCCCCCGCCCCCACCTGCACCTGCCCCCGAAGCCGCGAAGCCGCCCGCCCTTGGCGTCAAAAGACCTCCAGTCCCCCCGAAGAGGAAAGAGAACCCAGCACCGCCCGGCGGGGGAGGCAGCGGAGAGCAAGATTTCATGTCCGATCTAATGAAAGCTTTGCAAAAGAAAAGAGGCAACATATCCTAAGGGAAATGGATCAGTATCTTCTTGTGATGGGCATAATCACTTCTCACCTCAAGTGCATTTTTACTACTTTATTTCCGTGACATCTTGTTCATTTTCGATAAAATATTGACCCATTCAGACGAGAAATGATGTAAAATGTCTCACTGTAGCTCAAACACATTCATAACCATTAACCTAACACAGGAGTTAGAGTCTCTGCTAAATGTATGTATCTTAACTGTTTCCACTTCTGTGAATGCATCTTCCCTTCCAAGTTAACTAAAATGTTTTTTATGTTCCTTTATTTTACCATGTTCAGAAGCATCAAATTAATAAAAGTTAAATTTTTTTTTCTTGGAGATGATACTTCTAAAAATATCAGTGTATATGAATCTATTGTGATATCGACGCCATGTTACAGTATACTTGACCTTTTAAAATAGCTTTCAAAAGTCGTGGGCCTTCTAAAGTATTGTTGATCTTGGAGATATTTTCCATCTCCACCCCCATGACCTTCAGAATTTTCTGATAAATCGAAAGAGAAAAAAGGAAAAAACAGGAGAGGCAAAGTGAATTCAGTTTCTTTGAGACTCATGGCTTGATTGATGGGGGTCCTGGACATATACTGTTTTGGTTTTGGTTTTCCAAAGGTCAAATAACATAGTAATGAAGAAAAGAGATATGTAGAGTTTGGGGATTCTCTGTTATTACACTGCTGTAAGTACACTATAAATTAAAATTTAGAGACCGGAAAAGGCAGTCATTTATCTCTCAGATAAATTTGATGCTCAATTTTAATAGCCAATTTATCTTGAGTTCCTGTTACCCTATCTCACTTCTCTTTCAAACTAACTTCTGGGAATCCTTTTAGATTTTCTGAGCTTTATTTCCATGGTTCTGTTTTTTCTTTTTAATTGTGAAACACTTCAAAATCTTTTTTTTTTTTTTGAAGTATAATTAACACACAATGTTACATTAGTTTCAGGGGTACAACATCGTGGTTCGAGAACTCTGTATGTTACAGCTGTGCTTACCACAAGGTATTACAATATCATTGACTATATTCCTTATGTTGCGCCTTTTATTCCTGTGACTTATTCATTCCATAGCCGGAAGCCCGTGTCTCCCCCTCCCCTTCACCCATTGTGCCCATTCCCCCACCACACCCCCTCTCCTCTGGCAACCATCAGTTTGTTCTCTGTATTTAAGGGTCTGTCTCTGCTTTTTTTTGCTTATTGATTTTTTTTTAGATTTCACGTATGAGTGAAATCTTACGGGATTTATCTTTCTCTGACTTATTTCACTTGGCATAATATCTTCTAGGTCTATTCATGTTGCTGCAAATGGCAAGATTTTATTCTTTTTTATGGCTAATATTCCTTTGTGTATATATAGCACCTCTTCTTTATCCATTCATCTGTCTGTGGCCACTTACTTTGCTTCCATATCTTGGCTATTGTAAATAATGCTGCAATAAACGTAGGGGTGCACCTATCTTTTAGAATTAGTGTCTTCGTTTTCTTTGGACAAATAGTAGAGGTATCACTGCATCATACGGTGTTTCTGTTTTTGTTTGAGGAACCTCCATACTGTCTTCCACAGCGGCTGCACCAGTTTACCTTCCTACCAACAGTGCACAAGGGTTACTTTTTCTCCACATCTCAAAATCTTCTTAAAGCAGGTAGAAAATAAATAATAACTCATATGTTACTTTCTACTTAAGGAAGATGATTAATCTTTTTTTTCAAATTAAACAGGTTTATTGGAAATATGCATTATAATCTTCAGAGGAAATTACATGCAGCATTTTACAAATGTATTTGACAGCGAAGCTTTCTGCAAATAAACACATTACACCATCTAAGTGAAGATGATTAATCTTATGTTTTAATATTGGGGGGGAAGTAAGCTCTAAATTGACATTACAAAAAAGCAAATTCAGATCTTAAAGCCAAAATATTTAGTAATTAAAATTAATGAGGTGCTCTACACTTTTCCTAAGCATGTTCCTAAAATAGGATAGAAGATAAATGCTTTACATTAAATATCTCCTCATGCACAGTAACCCTTTCCGGTTTGTTTTTGTTTTATGATGATCTTTGACGCCAGATGCATTAAAAACACAACTTTTCTGAGACCTGGGGAAAGCCTGATCATTATGCAGATCTCTAGGACAATACAAGAAAGGTGTTAATGGCAGAATTTTCTTAGAAACTGATTTGGAGATGGAGAGCTCACAGAGGAAATGTAGAACAGAATGTCTGTGGCCACACAGAATTGTCCAGGTTGCTTCAACCTGACATAGGTTAATGAACCAAGCCTGTGAGGTTCAGGACAAAAAGTTGTTCGTTAGAATTACCTGGATCTTACTTGCTTTGTTCAAAATGACCACCTAGTTTGCAGATGAGGAAATGCATTAGTACTTGAGAAGAGTAATTTAGAATTCAGTACCTCTGCCATCAAAAAAATAATAACCCTTTGCCGACTGGATTTCAGAGTATAAAAACCTTGACGGCACTTCCCAGCCATGTCTAGAGCAGGAAGCAAACACATTCTCCATCACACAGCCACAGAATCGCCAAGATGAAGGGACCCTGGAAACGACCCACTACATTAATTAGGATCATGACTTTACATGACAAAGACCCTGGAGCAATCTTAAGCAAAGAGTAGGACTTAATTACACAATTCCGAGGAGCAGAATGCCAGTACCCAAGGCTACATGTGCCCCTAGACTATTGCACAGGACCTAGAACTGGTGCCTGGAAATTCATAGTTTTCCCCTCTCATCTCTGCTCCTGTCCATACACTTGCCTCCTTGTCCCTCTCTTTGCAAACATTGTTATTCTCTTTGTGTTGGCACTCCACCTTTGGGTTCCTATGGTGGAAGACAGTCTCACTTTCCAACTGCTGAATTTCTCTTTGCATCTGTTTAGAGGCCAGGATGGACTGGCAGTCTACCTTTTAGCCCCAACTGGGAAAATTCGCTAAAAGAGAACCTCATTGGCCTGAGTGAATAAAGGGTCATTGCTCAGCCAAATCATTAGTAGCCAGAACATAACACCGGAGGTACTGGGACCCATCACTGTGGATCAAGAAGGCTGAGAGAGGAGGATGAAGGCACTGAAGAGGGCAGAGGGAGAGCTGTGGTTGTTATGGGCTTCACAGAAGACCCAAAAAATGTCACTTCAAACATATTCCTAACTCAACAGAGAAATCGGGCCTGACAATGTGCTTAACCTAGATCCCACCGAGCTGGGTTACAGCCCCAGTTTTGTAACTCCCATCCATACCATACCTTTCCTCTACAAGGGAAAAAATATATAAAAATTCAAACATTAAAATGTTTGTTTTAACATTTGATAATATGAATTTTAGGAAAGCTCCCGAAGAGAATTAACTGATTTTGTGGTCAAAGTGTTGATAGTTTTAGTGAACCAAAGGGTTGAATACATTGTGTGTGTCTAGTCTTTGCCTGTGTGGTGGGCCCACTTTGATCTCTGTTATCCAAGAAAGAATCCTTTGTTAAGGTCTTTTCAGTCAGGAATCTTAGAAATTGGGGCTGCTTTTGCCTCATCTTGGGGCAGAAGTTTGCTTTCAATAGGCCCAGGCACCAGATCAGGAGCTCTGTGTGATTTTCACTCAAGTGGAACAGAATCTCTAGTGTCTAGCAGAAAGGTCTTCACAAACACTACTTATACATGAGTCTACTTAGGTCAGCCTTGAAAATGCACCAAAATCTGTTCCCCTTTCATGAAAAGCTTAGCCACAAATTTGGATGTGAGGGAAGTACCATCTTTGGGGTGGAGCCATCGAGGAAGGAACTGTGGGATTAAGACAGTAATCCTGTATCATAATTTATAATAATTACAGAATTTCGTGTATAATGTTGCCAACAGGACAAAGACCCAGGTAATAGGATAACTACGAAGCAAAACAAAACACAGGGTTTGATCAAGTTTACAAGAAACAAGATTTAACATGCCAGGAGACAGACTCTCCTGCTTTCAGCGGGTCTCAGAGGGAAATGAACATTTAAGCTTCTACTGTGTGATTTACATATTTTATTTAGTCATAGAAACAATGGCTGGTATGATACTGAAATTATCAAACTCAATGATAACTGAGCCTTTGAAATTTGAGATTTTTTGGCTTGATATATGGTCAGTTTTTATAAATGACCCACATGTGTTTAGGTACAACGTACTGTAAATGTTGCTTAGAATAGCCTTGCTAAGCATGTGGCTCAAGGCTTCCACAGCCTAATATGTAGTCTGCTTGTTCCATCAACTACTTGGAAGAATGTGTTAAAATCCCCTTTGATGAAGGTGGATTTTTCAATAGCTTCTAATTGTTCTGGTAAATTCTGCCTTACATATTCTGACACTTAATATTAAGTATAAACAAAATTTATTTGTATATTTTCCTGGCAAATTGAATGGTAGACCTCTGTATACTGCTCTTTGCTTGGTATATTCATACGGCTGTACCATCTCTTTTTGGTTATTTGCCTGAAAAATCTTTCTATCCATTTATTGTCAAACTTTTTATATCATGATATTTTAGGTTTGCCACTTGTAGATGGCATAGAAGTGGATTTTGTTGTGTTTATATCTAGTCCAGCCACCATTGTCTTTTAACTGGCAAATTTATTTTTTTTAACCCTTACTGTGATGATTATATGTATAAGTCTTATTTTGTACTGTTTTTAATATCTTATTTTGTACTTTCTATTATCTGGATTTTTCTGGGGCTTTTGTCTTTCTATCTTCTCATGTAACTAAGGATTTTTTCCCTTACTCCATTTTGAATCTTACTGGAAAGTTATACACTCTGTTTTTATTCTTTTAATGGCTACCTATAAGTGACAACATCATACTTAAGAAGGTCTAAAGTTAGGGCGCCTGGGTGGCTCAGATGGTTGGGCGTCTGCCTTCGGCTCAGGTCATGATCCCGGGGTCCTGGGATCGAGTCCCACATCGGGCTCCCCGCTCCTTGGGAGCCTGTTTCTCCCTCTGCTTCTCTCTCTCTCTCTCTCTCTCTGTCTCTCATGAATAAATAAATAAAATCTTGAAAAATAAAAAAATAAAAAAAAAAAAAGAAGGTCTAAAGTTAAACAGCTTTAACCAGGACAATACAAGACTTGAGAACACTTTAATTTCAGTCATACACACACACACACACACACACACACACTATATTGTCCAGTGTTTGAATTCTGTCTCAGGGTTGTTTTTTTTTCCTAGAATGTCTTTATTACACACTCATTCTTGAAAGATGGTATCACTGTATATAAAATTCTGGATTGGCTGTAGATAAACTTTAGTAAATACCAAAGAACAGTGAGTTATTTGAGAAT